TTTTTGGACAGCAGCCGGTGCAATCGCAGAGCTGATTTTGGAAGCTTATATCTCGAAATCTATAAAGAATCTGAACATTTTCAAAACATAAAAGTTGTAGCCCTTTGATTCTAGTTTCCAGAATGATAAACCATTTATCATTCAGACATTTATAGAAAATGTTATGATCGATTGACTGAAGCTGCTACTGCAGATTTTTGCTACAGCAGTATGCATCGCCAGAAATTTCTGCTGCACAGGGCTGACTTTGGGAGCTTATATCTCGCAATCTATAAGGAGTTGGGCAATGAGCAAAAGATGAAAGTTGTAGTACTTTGTATCTAGTTTGCAGAACTTTAAACCGTTTGGAAGCTGGAGTTGAGTACAAGAAGTTATGATTGATACACTACAGGCTATCGAGGAAGAGTTTGATGTTTTCAACATAAGCATATAATGATCCAAAAGTCCATTTTTAGTTCTAGAAATCAAAATTCGATTTCGAGACTTTCGACATTTTGATAATGAATTATAGGAGTTATCTGAAAAGTTTGGTCTAATTTCATCAAGTCGCGATTGAGTTTTAAGCGCGAAATATGAGTTAATTGTTTAACGAGCGAAATTGGTATCACATTGAGCAAATGAGCTCCGAATTGAGTTTCGATTGAACGAATGGGTTCGTAGTTTTATTTGTGACTCATAGGAACAAGAATCGTCGAATTCCGAGTTCGTATGATGGAGTTAGAGCTTTTTTAGTGAAATAAAACTGTTGGTGTAAATAGTCCTGGTGTGCACCTTTAGCGACCAGATGTGACACTTTTAGTGACGAGATTGGACTTTTAGCGACCCGAATAGTATTTTTGGGGCAGAAACTTAAGGACCAAAAATGGTCATTTCCTTCATTTCATTTTGGAGTTTTGGAGCACAGTTCTTGGGCGATTTTGAGGATTTCTTCAAGACTTCAACTTGGGTAAGTGTCCTATATCCAAATGTGCTTACATTTCATAAATACATAGTCATATTCATCATTTATTTCGGATTTAAATGGAAGAAATCAAGATTTTTGCAAAATCTTCCAAAAACGAAAATTTAAGATTTGGAGGTCGAGTTGTTATCGGATTTTGGTAAAATTGGTATGGGTGGACTCGTAATTGAATGGGTTATCGGATTTTGTAAGTTTCTCCGAATTCCGATATGTGGGCCCCACGGGCAAATTTTAAGCTAATTTCGAATTTTAATGAAAATGTAATATTTTCTTATGAAAGTGATTACTATAATTTTTGTTGACTGTATCGAATTAATTATGACTAGATACGAGTC